TCGAGATATCATCATAGGCAGGATTTTCTGAATAGGACTGCAGTCACTCAGGAAATAAGACCCAGAATCAACAAAGGGACTTCATGAAATTAACAAGTTTCTGGACAACAGAGGAAACGTTTAATCAAATAAAGAGGCAGCCTACCCAATGGGAGAAAATTTCTGCCCGCTCTACATCTGACAGAGAATATCGAGAATATACAAAGAATTCAAGAAGCAAACAAGAAAACAAGCAATCCAATCGATAAATGGGCTAATAAAGTGAACAGTGTTTGCAAAAGATAAAATACAAATGATTAGGGGCTGAGAAGATGGCTCAGCAGGTAGGGGGGCTTTCTGCTCTTCCAGAAGACCTGAGTTCTGTCCCTAGCACTCACATTGGGCAGCTCACAGCTGCCTGTAACTCCAGCGCCACTAGATCTGATGCCCTCTTCTGGCCTCTGCAGGCACCTTCCCACACATGGCAGATAATCACACAGATTCACATGCAAAAATGTAAATAAAAATCAGTCTTTAAAAAATACAAATGGGGACTGGAGAGATGGTTCAAGAGTTAGTAGCACTGGCTGTTGAAGATCTGAGTTCAAATCCCAGCACCCACATTGTGGCTGTCTATAACTCCAGTTCCAGGGGATCCAATACACTCTTCTGTCCTCCATGAAAAATGTACAATATGGGTGCCTTTGCACAAGTGTAGGCATAACACTCATACACATAAAATAAAAAAATACAAGTAGACTCTAAACGTGGAAAAATTCAAACTCAATAGCCATCAGAGAAGGCAAATCAAAACTACATTGAAGCTGGGCGTGGTGGCGCACGCATTTAATCCCAGCACTTAGGATGCAGAGGCAGGTGAATCTCTGTGAGTTCAAGGCTGGCCTGGTCTACATAGTTAGTTCCAGGACAGCTGGGGCTGCAGGGAGACCCTGTCTCAGAAAGACCAAAAGAAAAAAAACACAACAAACAACAACAACAACAAAACAACAACAACAAAACTACATTGAGAGCCAGTGAGCTGGTGTAGGGGTAAAGATCCTTGGCAAGCATGGCATCCTGAATTCTGACTTGAACAATGTGCTGTGGCACCTGCACACATGGGTACATACCATGTGCACACAGACATACACACACACACACACACACTCATACATGCACATATAGTAATAAAAAGTTGTTCAAACAACAGCAACAAAAACCCAACATTGAGATTCCATCTTAGTCAGAATGTCAGTCATTAAAGAAATAACAAATGCTGGTACAGAAGTGGATAAAAGGAAACACTGTAGTGGAAATGTAACAACCAGAAACTGATATGGAAGTCTGACCTAGGTATTTACCTGAAAGACTTCAAGTAAATACATCACAGAGATACTTGTGTCTCAATGTTACCGCAGCACTATGCACAATGGCCAATTTATAGAGTTTTCTGGGGTTGGGTAATGAAAATATGGTATCCACACAATAGAATTTTTTTCAGGCATAAAAGAAAATGAAGTTATGTTATTAGCAGAAAAATAGATGCAACTAGATGATCATATTAATCAAATTAAGTCAGTCTCATAGAACAATTGTGTTTTCTCTCATCTGTGGTTCTTAGATTTTATACAGTCACATGAAATCATGCACGTATATATTGAATGAAAGTAGAGATGAAATTATCTAGGAGGAAAAAGGGAGGGGAGGGGCATGAGAAGAAAAGGTCAGGGAAATGGAGCTGAGAAAAATATGCTTAATATACAATGTATGTATGAAAATATTAAAAAACAGAATTACACCCCCCAAGGAATCTGAGTCCCTAATTCATACACAAAAGGGCTGTATGATGGTTAATCTTGTGAACTTGATAGGACTTAGAATCCTCTAGGAGACATCTCTGAGCATGTCTGTGAGATTTCTAGAGAAGTTTAACCCCAATGTGTGTAGCATCCTCTCATAGGCTGGGGTCCCAGACTGAATAAAACAGGAAAATAGGAGAAGCCTGATATGCATCAGAATTCATTTCTCTCTGCTTCCTGACTGTGGATGCAGTGTGACCAGGTCACTCCTGTGACCATGCCTTCCTGGATTGTACCCTCAACCATGAGCCAATCTAAGCCCTCCCCCTGTTAAGCTGCTTCTTGTCAGATACTTGGCCACGGTAATGAGAAAAGTAACTAATACAGGTTTCTTGCTCCACACACTGTCACAGGAGTGACAAAGGAATCTTGGCTGTATTAGGTCATTGCCTTTCTTCACTCTATACATTATGTAGTGTATTCCCATGAAATAGAATTTGATCTCTGTGGGACTATTCACATCAACACACATGTAGCAATGTAGTGCTTGAGCAGTCCTACCCCATACCACATTCTTCTTCTGAAAATAGTATGCAGAAGTTCAGAACTAATGCTCAGAACTGACCAGTTCAAGACCACTCAGGCTCTGAGGGGAACAGAGGCCCCTCTCAGCATCAGTCCTAATGCTATACAGGTACAAAGATGATAAATCAGCAGTAAGAGCTGCACTGAATTCTAATTCTATAAAAATGATATGCAAACAATGGGGTATATAGCCAATGCTAAAACGAAATGAGCTGTCAAGGGCTGGGCATGTGGGGCACAGAGTCCTATGTTCAAACCCTAGTTTAAAGAAATGAGCTCTGGCGGGGTGTGGTAGCGCATGCCTGTGGTCCCAGCACTTGGGAGGCAGAGGCAGGTGGATCTCTGTGAGTTCAAGGCCAGCCTGGTCTACATAGTGAGTTTCAGGCCAGCTGGGGCTACAGGGAGACCTTGTTTCAAAAAGACACCCCCCCAAAAAAGAAATGAGCTCTCAAGTCACAAAAAAAGATATGAAAGCAGCTTAAATTCACATTATTAAATGAAAAAGTTCAGTCTTAAAGTGGCTCTGTGCTATATGGTCTGAAGTATATGACATTCTGGAAATAAATGATGCAGACAGGAAGAAAATAGGTGGTTGACAAACAGCATAGAGGGAGGGAAGAACAGGCAGAGCACAGAGGATTTTCACGGATGTGAGACTTTTCTACATACTATAAAGGTGGGTCCTTGTCTTTTATACTTTTCTAAACCCTTAGAATGTACATTGCCACAAGCCATAACTCCGTCCAGCAGAGCCGCAAGCCACGACTCCATCCAGCAGAGCCGAGGAAAGACGACACAGACACCAAGGTGAGGTTCAGGCTTCTTTATTACGCACTCAGTCCTTATATAGTTTGTTCCCAACAGCCCTCCTCCCAGCCAGGACCAATCAGGGCACACACACGCAGCAGGCAGGCAGAGTGGCAGCTCATTGGGCCACGTAGCAGGGTCATGCTTGATGATGTCTCTGATCAGGCAGGCAGCACATGATCGGGCTCCTCCCGCAACAAGCGAGGGTCACGAGGCTTGGCAACCAGCCAAGAGTTGGAGTAAACAAGCGAGGGTCAGGAGGCTTAGCAGCCAGCCAAGGGTTGGAGTCAGGAGACTTGGCAGCCAGCCAAGGCGCCATCTTTGGCTGACTCAGCCATGCTCGCTTCCCACAGTACATCACTGATAGTGAACCCTAATATAAACTATGGACATTAGGTGGTAAACATAGGGCCATGAGCTGACTATGGTGACTCACATCTTATACTATAACCCCAACATTCAAAAGGCCAATGAACAGAAGTTCCAAGCCAGCCTGGGTTACATAGTGAGATGCTGGTAACAGTGAGGGAGGGAAGGGGGAAGGGTAAGAGGTTCATCAGTTGTAACAAATGTGTTACTCTGACACTGTCAAGGCAGGTGTGTGTGTGTGTGTGTGTGTGTGTGTGTGTGTGTGTGTACGTATGTACAGTGAATAGATATACAGAAACTATCCTGTTCAATTTTGCTATGAATCTAATGTTTCATTTTGAAATAGCCAACTTAAAAGTCAAAACAAATCCTCAATAAAAACACACCTATTGCTCCCCAGAATCCTTCAGTAGTAGAGAAGCTAGCAGGACAGATGGGCAGAGGAGTTAGGGGAACTAGCAAGTGTTTCTTGACTGGAATGACAAGAACATGCTATACTTTGTGAAAGCTCAGCCACTTGGCCGCTTGGGATGTGTGGATTTTTTTTGTCAGAAGGTAAATTAAATGTTTTTAAAACTTAAAAAACAAAACAAAGAGAAAGAACTAAAGCTTGTTGGTTACTGACTCTGGTCTGGATGAGTCCAGGTTTGCTCTAACCTGGCCAACTACTAGAAATCAGTCAGGTCTTTATATCTAGTTTCCTTATTCATAAGTGATGCTGGATTTTATTTTCTTTGGGGCTGGGTATTGTGTTAGAGCCTTATATGTGTCAGGCAAGCACTCTACCACTGAGCTGTATTTCCAACCTGATATTTGTTGTTGTTTGTTGTTGTTGTTGTTGTAGCACATGCCTTTAATCCCAGCAGTAAGGAGGATCTACATAGCAAGTTTCAGGCCAGCCAATGCTACATTTAAGATCAT